CCAAATACTTTGTATAGCACGATATTTGGTTTAATTAAAAATGAATTTGATAATGTATTTAAATCGGAAACATTAACTTTCCATAGAGAGACGAAATTCAACGACTGGGCAACAGTAGGTGTTCATAAGAGTAGGTCTCGTTTGTATGAGCTGTATGCTATGAAAACTTATAATACTAATTCCAATTTCATAGAATATGTTAGAAATTATTCAAAAGTATTTTAAAAAGTATGTGTAGCTGCTAAGGTTAAGTTTCACAGCGACAAAATTAGGCAATCGATAAATAAATCTAAAACTACTTGGAGCGTAATAAATAAAGAGTCAGGCAGGGTTAAACAACACGATAGAGATATAGTTTTAGAATTACAAAATTATACAATCTCAAGACAAGGTACCCCAAGCTTTTGAATCGTTCTTTTCGAAAATTGCTGTGAACACTACAGAATCATTAAATTGCTCCCCCTTCTCTTGCTATTGATCTCCTAAAGGAAAATGTTAACGTTTGTGGCAGTTTATTTAATTTCCGTCATGTTAATCCACAAAATATCATAAAAGCTTTTAAATCGATACATGTTAAAAAACTGAAGATCTCTGGGGCATATCAACTAAAGTTATAGACTCAGTTATTGATCTAATTTCCCCACATTTAGCTGTAGCTTTCAATAGGTGCGTTGACGAAGGTGTTTTTCCCGATTTAATGAAATACAGCAAGGTTATTCCCTTATTCAAAAGCGGTAGGAAAGTTGACCCTAGCAGCTATAGGCCCATTTCAATTTTACCAGCTTTAAGTAAAATATTCGAAAAGGTTATGCTGACTCAATTACTGTCCTATTTCGGTAGGAATAATATTTTTCATAGTGAATAATACGGGTTTACTAGTGGTAGATCGGCTAGCGATGCGGGGGTAGCGTTACTAGAACACATCTTTGATGCTTGGGAAAGGTCCCAGAACGCTATTGGTCTTTTTTGTGACCTCTCAAAGGCATTTGATTGCGTTGACCATATTACTCTTTTTGAGAAGCTCGAACATTACGCTGTAAATGGCAAGGCGTCGGAACTTGTCTCGTCATATCTCAACGGTAGAATTCAGAAAGTAGACATAAATGGAGTGACTGCTTTGGGTTCTCCGGTAAAAATGGGTGTTCCACAGGGCTCAATACTTGGACCTTTCTTATTTCTGATTTATATTAATGATCTGCCATTTTTTGTTAACCATTGCGAAATAGTATAGTTTGCTGATGACACATCCTTGATTTTTAAAACGGACAGACGTGACATTAACTATGACCATATTAATGATACCCTCTCTAAGGTAGTTTATTGGTTTAATGCTAACAATTTATTGCTTAATGCCAAGAAGACAAAATGTGTTAAATTTGAATTACCTAACGTAAAATCGACTAGTCCAAGCATAGAAATAAACGGAGAAAAGTTAGACCTTGTTAATAAGGTCTTCTTGGGAGTGACCTTAGATAGTAAACTTCAATGGTTTCCACATATATCTTCCCTGGCCAGCAGTTTAAGCTCCGCTGCATACGCAGTCCGCAGAATACGTGAGCTTACCGATGTTAGTACTGCTAGACTAGTTTACTTTAGTTACTTCCATAGTATAATGTCCTACGGGATTCTCATGTGGGGTAAAGCAGCAGATATTCAAACTATATTTGTATTGCAAAAATGAGTAATTCGTTCTGTGTACCGTCTAGGTTCTCGGGTTTCTCTCAGAGAAAAGTTTAAGGAGACTGGTATCATGACTGGGGCATCACAGTACATTTACTCAAATATTTTATATGCCCGTAAAAATATACATAATTTTAATAAGAAAGAAGATATCCATAATATTTAACCTTAGAGCTAAGTCCAAAGTCATGGTACCACGATTTCGTTTAACCAAGGTAAACGACTCTTTTATGGGGAACTGTATACGTTTTTACAACAAGATTCCAGAGCATATGTTAAGTTTATCATTACCTAAGTTTAAAAACTACATTAAAAATATTTTGATCGAAAAATCATATTACAAACTTGAAGACAAGTGTTAGATAAAGATGTATAGAAAGACGACACGGCTCCAGAATACACACAAATTTGATTCAAAGTGTATTCCATAGGATTTAAATTTATTTTACCAGTCAGTTAGAGCAGTCTCTAAAGTTTCTTGCTCGTTCTTCTCAGCGAAGTCAGCGTAGTGAACGAACAGTAGCTTAATATAATGTAATGTAAATGTGACATTTTCAAGTGTAAATCTATTTTACCTATGGAATAAATGCTCTTTGACTTTGACTTTGAAATGGTTGATTTTACTATTCTCCAATTCAAGGCGTTTTTCTCTCTCAATATACTTTGAGAAGTGAGAACCGATTTTTATTATGTTTTAGTGGCGAACTAGGGGATGACTCCGGGTTTGCGCACTACCCCGTCACCGATTTAAATAAAACATGGTAATTATATGTAATTCCACGTACTTTTCAGGTCGGTTTTTTTAGTACTCTGTACTGAGATTATATTACTATATTTTCAATCAAAGTTATGCTTCATAACAGCTTAAATACTTTTAGTACACAAGGGCTTTTATATACAGTTAAACAAACTACAATATGCTAAGTAATAACAACCATTTCTAAAACCGGGATAGATGCCGCAGTGGGACAGATGCCTCGTTTTTAAAAAACCTAACTTCCCAAATCGCAACAAAGAATAATTAGTTTAAATAAGGAATTTATACACCACTCATCAAAGTTCCTGCAGGGCTTCGTGTGGAATAGACGCGTTTGGCTTGTACATGCGTTAACTTCGCGATGAACATGACAAACGGTTCAAAATTTCAGACGCAAGTATTTATTGTCGCGTAACTTTGTAAGGTATAATAAATTCCGTTTTATTTTTATTATATCTATACACTGGTTCATTAACTGCGCACCTAGGTGTCCATAATCGCTCTTTTGTATATAGCTTAGTTAAATAATAAAAGGGCATCTATCCATATCGACTAGGATAGTCGCCTCGAACTCATTCCAGCAGATCGACTGCTCAAGTTCGTTGCCAACCGTCAAAAAAGCCCCAGCCCATCGTGTATCGGCCTTTTATATTCGTGCACAAACAACAAAATCGTTGGCGCGTGGTGTTTTTCTTATACGCACGTGGTGTTTTACTTACTAATTATTGTATATTTGCAGGTAAATTATGACATTGATTACCAAATTATCCCAAATTACGTAACTACCTAACATTTGAAACTGTCGTGTGGATTAACACATATAATATGCAGAACACCATCCATTTATGTTAAAGACAAATTAGTCATTTATGTTTCTTATACAATTAGTAATTGTGTTGACTGGTGAACATGAGTGTACAAGGAAAATTAAACTATTATTATAATATAATATAAAGCTTGATTACCATTATATAGAGTGTTTTTTTTCTAAATGGGACAGTATGGAGAAATTTGAACCCATAGAAAATACAAGGAAATTGTCTTAGGAACCATTGTCTTTTTTGTAAAAAAAATGTTTGCATAGTCAATCTTTGGTCAAGCGTCATGCGTGTTGTTGCGAGTTGTCCATAAAAATGAATTAAATTTTTTTTAGTGCTAATCGACTCAGTTTCATGAAGGGATAATTTCATTGCATGAGACGAAAAAATCGGGAAAATTTTATAAGAAAAAATCAAGAGAGCGAAATTTGGTCAAATTTAATAAAAAGTGATTTTTATACAAACCAATGAATAACATTTTGTTAAATTTCCCCATACTGTCCCATTTAAAAAAAACACTCTATATATCTAAAATCTATCTACCATTGTGACGATTTCAAGTGTAATAATGTTGGGTCGTGTTGGGTCAAGGCGACCACTTCGACTCCTAGTTGGGTTGGCGCTGATGCGCTCGAAGATTTCTAAATGTAGCCAATCTTATATTTTTAAACAACCTCCCAGGACTATATTACTAACATTAAACAACAAGTTTAATTTTGTAATTCATCAGACTTAACTTTCATATAAAAAAATTTAAATCGATGGCTCTAAACAACGATTAACTGCGTTTGCTAATGCCATTGACCTGCAAGGTTTTAGTTTGTTTATCTAAAATCATTAGGATCTTGAGATGGTTTAGAGACGAAATTTCGGCGTCAAATGTATCGGTTAAAACCTTTCAGATTGAATATAGGGCAAAATGATCCATAGCTGTCTATTTTCGCTGGTACATCTCTGACAAAAAATGCTTCGGTTTGGTACTCTGTTCAACGGCTTTCGATTGTAAAAGTATTTGTTTTGTTTTGACATTTCTAGGGAGAATTTTATCCGAAAGAGAATAATGCATCACAAGGAGAATCTTCTCTGTGAAATCATTTTGAACTTTAGGATTACTAATGGTGCTGCCGGTCAGTGTTATGCAAAGTTCTGTAAGCAGCCCGCTCTGAACGAGTCATTTTCTTTTACCCTGTTTGCAGTGAGTATGCTGTTTATGTGATGGGCAAGTTTTTTCACTTTCTGGAGTTGCTGCTTGCTGAGCTTCGATTGCACGGTTTTGCTCCCAACTCTATTATTGTTGACTGGCTTCTGTCTATTGATGTATGAAAAAAACTTTTGAATATCACCACTAGAGCAGTCCTTGGAATAGTGCGCTGTCGGAGAACAGATCTGATCAAATCTTACGGTGAGATTCTGCGAAGGATTTCTTAGAGTTTTGCTTAGAAGGTCCTCTTCTTTGTTCAATAACGTCAGCTCTACCCCCGCAAACGTTTTGGACAAGAGTCCAAATGATTCTTATACTGTAAATCGTCAAGGAAGTCTCGTCCTGCTTTGCTCTTTAAATCCACTTTAAATTCGATTAACTTAAAAACTATATACATATATCTTGAAATATTTTCCTTAATATAATGACTTAACTCACTTATGCAAAACACCGCCCAAATAATTTATCGCCCAAGCAATCTTCGGACATTCCTCTTTGCAGAGCTTATTTTACCGGTTATTATTCATAAAAGGTTCTCAGTGTCCGGTCGGCCCCCATTTACAGCGGACGTTGTAGAGAACTAATTTAAAAAAGTGAATTCTCAATTAAAACGTTATTAAAATTTAAAATGAACCCGTTCATGTTAATATCGGTGTTGATGACCGCGTATCTTTGCGTTGTGGAAGGCCGTAAGTTTGTAATCCTATTTACCGCTTTTATATCTCGTTAGAAATACTTAAAAAAGTGTTTCGAAATACTGTAGTATTATCCTTATCGTATTTTATATTATGCATTATCAAAACATACATCAATGTGTACAATGTGGATATTAAATAATAGAGACAAAAGCAATAACTCTATTGTGTCATGATTTTTCTACTCTGAAATGTTCGTTTATGCTATGTGTTACACATAAGAGCAAATATACCTATGTATAATATAATAATAATAAATTAAGTAATAATTTCTTTATTTCAAGTACGAAATTTATTATATCTTACTTCAATTAACAACTGATGGTTCCTAAAAATTTTCACGATAGAAAAACACAAACTTACCTCGAAATTTTACAAGAAAACCGTTGTAAGTATTCAATAGGTAGTCTACATATGCTAATGTTTTTTTTCGTATCAACTAAACAAAGTAGACCACGTATAGTATAGGTACGATGTACATTTTTCAAATGGCTTTAACGTCGTTTGCAAAAAATGAATGATGAAATTATTTGAACTGTTGGATTTAGAAATAAATGCTGTATCCGTAATGAGTACCCCCAAATACCTCGAAAATGATACCCATACTGTATTTATTTGAAAAGTCATGCCTGCCATCTTGGATTTAGAAATAAATGCTATATACGTAATGAGCACCCCCAAATACCTCGAAAACGATAAACGTTTGTATGGTTTAAGAAATTTTTAGTAGCAGTAGAGCACCTCGTGAAAGAGATCGTCCATGGCAGTACTGCCACCTTACCAAGTTCTGCCGCCAAGCAGTAATCTCATCATTACTGTGTTCCGGTTTTGAAGGGTAACGGTGCTGGTGAAATTACAGGCACATGGGACTTATCAACTTACGTCTCAAGGTGACGGGTACAGTGGTAGTGCCTCTCAGATCTTTGCAATTTAAAGATCTGGCTGTCCCGATTTTTTAGTCCTATACAATAAAATGATCCCTTCAGAAAACTGAATCGATTCTAAACAAAGTTTTTGTCAAATTTTATTCATTTTTATCTTATTGTTTTCACAAAAAAAGACCCTAAGACAGTTTCCTTGAATCCATCTTCTATGTTTTCGGATTTCTCCATACTATACTGTCCCTTTAAAAAAATACTCTGTATATTGGCCTTAGAGGATTGAAAGAATAAAACTAGTCTAAGATAATGGCTCGTTTTAGCCTCTCGATAAAAAAATAGTAGGTACTATATTTGGACACAACTTATTTACTACAATTTTCTAAGCAAATCTAACTTTTACTATTAATTCTAGAGTTGCCATGTACGACGCCGTCGGGTGGTGCCGGTAAATGCATCTCTCTGTATGACTGTAGCGAACTTTACACTATCGTGAAAAACCCTAATAGATCTCAAACAGATATTGATAACTTGAAACAATTTAGCTGCGGATTTGAGGGAAAAACACCAAAGGTAAGTCCGATATATCACTTGGAAACTTGGTTGAAATCTCATTTTTTAAGGAATGTACACGATGGTACCCACTGGCAAAAGAGATACCTAGATACTTTAAAGGGTCAACGTTATACACTTGAAAAGTAACACAAAGGGTCCTTGGTCGAATTGTTCTGTGAACAGGACCAGTGGCTATATAAGCTAAAAAAAATAAATAGAACCCACCGTCTGTCAACCCGCGCTCGTAAGTACGTCACCTGGCCAGCCGTAGATACATAGCTAATGGATGTCAAAAAGACCACAGCAGTAATGTTACTACATAAATATAACACCAGCAAGCAATGGTTTTTCAGGAAAACGCAATTTATCATCTGTAAAGCTGGCATCACTAATATTTGAAAAAAATATAGGTACCGGCTCTCTGGAGTTACGTGGTTACGTGGGCAATTTGATACAAGAGGTCACTCAACGCCTACATTTTTATTTCCAGGTATGCTGTCCAGTAGCTGAAACAAATAGATCATGTCTAACGCCGAACCTCCAGCAGGGAGAGTGCATAAGCCTCCACTCTTGTGAACACCTCATGAATTACCTCAATTCTCCTATCTCTCGGGAAACTATTATTCTCATCCACAATTTAAGGTAAAAACAGTGTCAAATATAGCACCCACACAAATATCTGTCTATCCGAGATTTGCGTCTTCCATTCCTATTGCTTGCTAAAGTTTCTTGCTCATTCTTCTCAGGGGAATCTGCCTTACGAATGAGCGGTAGAGTTTAACCATTGTGACGATTTCAAGTGTAATAATGCTTACCCATGAAATAATTCCGGTAGGCGTGTGGCGTGTCGCTTACCACCACGCGTACGACTTGTTCGTCACGAGCCGCTTGATATCATACGGAAAATTTTGTCACGGTTTGTTGAATATTTGAATTCGAAATGGCCATGAAATTCGGTGTCAAAAACGGTCTGTGCCATATGATATCAAATGAGAAGATTGCTGGTACTGTTTACACTTTTGTTGATATATATATTTTTTTTCTTGACTTCCATCTCACCTGATGGAAAGTGGCTATGAAGTCGACAATGGACCATGCACACCTAAATAATGCCTATTCACTCTCGCCTTGCAAAGGTCCAAGTTATAACGTTCAGTTCCAATTCTTGGAATATCCACGACATAAGGGTGAACTCCAACCTACGCCTGGTCCCCCGATGATGGAATGGGGCATGCAGAATTAATTCGTGCAATTCCTTCGCACTCTCCGTGATATATCCTGTAGAATACCGGTAAGCAGGCAACTTTACGCGGTGTTCAAGGCTTTGCAGCTTGAACTAGACAAATTCAAAAGTCAAGCAGTTACAGATAGACAAATTATAGATATACCACAATTTCTACAATAATTCTCAACCAGACTTTATTAACTTTTTTTTAATAAAATTATTTAGAGTCGAGAAATGTTTCTCAAGGCACAAGGTACCTACAAATTTCATGAATGATGTCTTACACTTATAGAGAATAATAATATATTATGTCCCCATCTATGGTGTGCTGGTGCAAGGACTGTTTTTGTGTCAAACTTAAATTAGACATTTAGGTGCTCCGGGTATGTGAGACAAAAACATTCCAGATAACTTTCATGCAACCACTAATTTCTAAAAATAAACTCTAATTTTGATTAAACTAATTGATAATTTTCTTCGACCAGAATGAAGGTCACCTAGGCATCATAGTCTACAGTTTAAAGTCTACAAAGTCAAAGTCAAAGTCAAAGTCAAAGATTATTTATTCCATAGGTAAAATAAATTTACACTTGAAAACGTCACATTTAAGGTACTGCTCGTTCACTACGCTGACCTCCCTGAGAAGAACGAGCAAGAAACTCTAGGGATTGCTCTTTTCAAATAAACTTAAATGCTATGGAATACATTTTGAATCAAATTTGTGTGTATTCTGGAGCCATGTCGTCTTTCCATACATCTTTATCTAACACGTAGTCTTCAATTTTGTAATATGATTTTTCGATCAAAATATTATACACACAACAATCTCAAAATTTCCAGATGTGAAGGCGACCATCCCGTAAGCGTGTGCTGCAGTCGTCCGCCAAACCTGAAACCTGAACCTAATTCAGATTGTAATAGTGCTACTGCGCCTCTTGACCCTGCTTCAGGATGTTGTGGGCAGGGCAAATTGGACGGAGATCGGATTATTGGTTCGTATTCTTTGTCAACTGTCTATGATATTCCGATAATTGTGCCCTTGTGTTTATGGGGGAAATGCTTTATGTATACCCACGAGCCCGGGGAAGCCCAAGGGTTACGTGCGACTAGTCTTCTTAGTAGAGTAAAAATTGTTATAACGATCTTAGTATCCCTTAGTATAAATTAAATGTTTTAAAACGTTATAAAAAACAAAGAATAATAAACTTTGTTTATTTTTTTACTTATATGCTTAAGTCTGCTGACACTAGCTTACATCAACGATTTTTGACACCACACAAGGGAATAAAATAGAAAAAAGAAAAAAATTGCTAACAGAAACATTCACATTTAAGACACAAATAAATTATTAATTATAAAAAAGTCACAAACAAAAGAAAATAAATTGAACACAGATTATTTGCATAAAATATAGAAACATATTTTATTGACGAAATGTAATCTTAAACTAATTGCTAACACGTTTAACTCTTTCTTTTCTTCTATTGGCGATGGTTCTACCGGCAATTCTCCTGACAATTTAATTAAAACATTTTTGACAAATACTATAGAAAATACCTTTTCTCTAAGCCCGGTAGAACCTAAAGAATTTAATTGCATAATAAAAAAACTTAAAAATAAAAAATCTTATGGTATTGATGAACTGCCCCCTATATTGATAAAGAAATGCGCTGATTTATTAACATAATAATAATAACAATAACGCACACACTCAACATAGCCCCGCACTAGGGAAACCCTGTGTCGCGGGTGCCATGGACACACACATAGACAACCACAAATTACACCCAAACTCACGAGAGAAATAATTGTAGGCCATACAACTATTTCTCCCGGCCCGGGAATCGAACCTGGGACCTCTGCGTGGCAGTCCGGCATGGTATCCGTTCGGCTACGGAGGCAGTTATTAACAGTCCCGTACACTACACTAGTGAATCATCGTTTCTTGAGGGAATCTTTCCAGACGCTCTCAATATATCAGTTATTAAACCTGTCCATAAAAAGGGAGAAACTACAGATATTAATAATTACCGTCCCATTGCTCTACTACCAACGTCAGCTAAAATATTCGAATCAGCTATGATGAAACGCCTGTATTCCTTTTATGAAAAATTTAGAATACTACATGAAAATCAAAATGGGGTTAGAAAGAATCACTCCACTACATTAGCCATTTATAGATACGTAAAAAACATATTAGCAGCAATCAGTAACAAAAAATTTGCGGTTGGGCTCTTACTCGATATGAGTAAAGCATATGACAGAGTTTGTCAGGTAGCCTTGTTGCATAAATTATACCAAACTGGAATTAGGGGCGTAACTTACAACTGGTTCAAATCTTATCTAAGTAATCGAATTCAATATGTGGAAGTCGAAAATACAGACTTTCAGACGGGTAAAATCACACAAACAAGATCTGATAGAGCTCTTGCGACTGGCTCTATCCCACAAGGTAGCGTTTTGGGATGCATTCTGTTTCTAATCTATATAAATAATCTCCCAAATATACTGGACGATCTATGTGTCCTCTTTGCTGATGACATTTCTGTCTTAATCACTTGCTCTAATATTACAGATCTAGAATTAAAACTAAATTTAACATTAGGTAAAATTGTAAACTGGCTAGGTATACACAACTTGCAACTTAACCTCAACAAAACTAAAATCATTAAATTCAAACCCTATCAAAAATCAGCATTACAAATATCGTATAAATATAGAAATATTAAAATAGAAACTGTACATTCTGCTACATTGCTAGGAATAGACACACATTTGAATTGGAAAGAACATATACAAAAAATACTAAATAAACTATCTTCTTTTATTTATGCACTTCAACATACGATATACTGCCTCCGTGGCCGAACGGTTACCATGCCGGACTGCCACGCAGAGGTCCCAGGTTCGATTCCCGGGCCGGGAGAAATAGTTGTATGGCCTACAATTATTTCTCTCGTGAGTTTGGGTGTAATTTGTGGTTGTCTATATGTGTGTCCATGGCACCCGCGACACAGGGTTTCCCTAGTGCGGGGCTATGTTGAGTGTGTGCGTTATTATTATTATTATTATTATTATTATCAACACCTCTAACGTGTAACAGATGATGGCAAAATGATAGTGACGGAGTGAAGATATTTGTGTTTTCCATCCGTTACTCTCATCTCTGGACTGTATTCGCACTTTCCATCAGGCGCGGTGCACTCATTTTGCCGAGTCACAATAAAAAAAAAATGATAAAAAAAAAAGACTATAGGATCGCCCTTGCGGCTTGTTACGCACACGCGCATTCAATGCTATCGTATGGTGTTATTTTGTAGGGAAATTCCTGTGTTGTGGAGAAGGTGTTCATTCTGCAAAAATAAAGTGTATAAGGATAATAACGAATATAGACCAAATGGAATCTTGTAGACCTCATTTTGTTAAGTGTAAAAAACTGACCGAAATGTAGAGGGAAGTAATTCTCTCTACATTCTCAAGTCATGTAAATTTGTTAGGAAACACCCACAGTTTTATTCACGTCTAACGAACGATAAACGAAATAACAGAAACTTAAACAAGCTAGAGTACCTTTCTCCAAAATGTAATTAGTTACGTCTGGCCCGCGCACCATGTTAATTAGAATTTATAACCACATACCAAATTATATCAAAAACCTGGAAAGACTTACACAATTTACTAAAGAACTAAATGCATTTCTTGTTAATAAATATTATTATGACTTACATGAATTTTTTGACGATACGTATGATGACAAATAACAATAATAATACAAATAAAAATACTTCGACATCTCTTATTAATAATGATTGAAATTAACGTATTGTTTAGAGTATGTTTTCCATTACTAATTAAAAATAATGCAATGTAATAATGTGATATAATAATGTAATGTTATGATATTATATTGTAATGTAATAATTTAATATAATTAAATAGTGTGATTTATGAATTTAGCCCTCAGATGTTGCTGTGCCCTTGCAGGGCGTCACATGTATACCATCAATTAATGTTCCATCTTAAATTTGTAATGTGATATGCAATAAACAATTGAAATTGAAATTGAAATTGAAACAAAGGTATAAATTGCAATTCTCTAGACCGACCTCAAACAGAGCATTGAAATTTGTACTTTATTACAATTGGAATAGCATAAAATGTACATAAATATGGACGTACATAAGCATGGACGGATGCGATGGAATTACACGATTTAATTTCGCTTTCCCCTTTCCATTACCGGGGGACTAGGCGTAGGCTTGGGTTCCATCCCTATGTTGTCAATATTCCAAAGATTCGCACGAAGCGTTACGCTTCCACATTTGTATGGCGAATGGCTATGGAGTGAAATTCTCTACCTGCAGACTTGTTCCCTGAACGTTTTAACTTGGGCCTTTTCAAGGTGCAAATTTCATGCTCCATCGTCGACCTCATCGTCACTTTCCATCAGGTGAGATGGAGGTCAAGTGCTCACTTATATTTTGTAAAAAAAAATCATGTCCTCTGTCTTGCCGTCCCCTGGTTTTCCGCAGGCTTTATGCATAAAGATCATGTGTGGTGCCACCCATGGTAAAAAAAGAGTAATTCATTTTTTACAGTTAAACGCAGTGTTTTAAGTAAATTGGTAAAATATATTATGTAATCAATAAAGGCATATAGCTATTCATCCAATTTAGTAGAGTTTGGTTCCTCGTACATTATGTAAATGGGCATCTTCAAAGCCGCAATTTTCTGTGTCCACGCACTAAACTCCACTTATGTATCAAAACAAAAATCTACAAAAAAATGGAGTGTATAATATAGGTCAAAAGCTGACTAGAGAGCACAAATCGTCCCAATAAACTTTTCGGAGCTAATGGAAAAAAATCCGGAATGCCTAAAACCTGACAACGGTGGCGTGTCCCGAATGCAGAATCCAACACAAAGTGTCATTTTTCTCAAAATAGAAACCATAGCGATCTTAGCATCCCTTAGTATAAATTAAACGTTTTATTTTTTAATTTTCTACTACCTACGTTTGTATAGATTAACTTTCGACACATTTTTCGTGGTTTTTGTTTTCAACCTGTCGACCATTTGTAGGTAGGTCTATGGTCTCACTGAAATGAGGCTGAACTAACCATTACAAGTCTCATTTTCAGTACAACATGATTTTGTATATTTCAGGCGGCAACGTAACAGACGTAGACGATTATCCGTGGTTGGCCCTCATCGAGTACTCGAGGAACAACAAGATCATGCTTCTTTGCGGAGGGACTCTCATCAGCAATCGATATGTACTCACAGCTGGACATTGCGTAGCTGGGGCCGTATTGCAATTTGGTACTCCGTAAGTGACCAGTTGTAAACCAGAATCTTAGATATCTTGAACGTCTCTTTGAAATTTTCGATCACTATTTTGGTTCGAAGACGATCGTTCACTGTTACCTAGATCCTGCGTTAAATCCTTCATTCAATTAAAAGTCCTTGATCTTCTGATTCTCATTCGTTCGTGTTTTACTCCGCTGGCTCAGTGATGACACAAAGTGGATCTTGTCCTCCGATAGTTCTCCTCCCAGTTCAGATATGGATGATTGATTATCCCTGCTTGGTTACAAGAGTAGGTACAAGAAAACCAGATCGCGATTCTTTGCGAAAGGGCTCAACAATCAATATGTACTCACAGCTGGACATTTCACTACGGGTATTGTATTTTATAACTATTTTTTGTACCATTGTAATAAAGTTCACATCTACCCTATTGCAGTCGTAGCGTTCGTCTCGGCGAATACGACACTTCAAACAACATTAGTGAGGAAGACTGCGCAACCGTTAGCGGAGGTGGTGTAGATTGTACCGAAGGCGCGATCTCCATACCAATTGAAAAGATCATCCCACATCCAAACTACAAGTCTAAGACCAAGAAAAATGATATTGCTTTGCTCAGGATGGCTAAACCTGCGCCTTATTCCGGTAAATTAATATTTAACCATAACAGTACATTTTACCCATATGTTTAATAAATAAATGCAGCGGTTTTCATATCGAACAGTTTTAGACTTCTCTTTTAAAACAATCATAGCCCCGCTGGGGAAACCCTGCATAGTGGGTGCCATGGACACACGCATAGGTAGCACAAATTACACCCAAACAGCCTCGTAGAAATAAATGTAGGCCGTACAAATATTACCTACTCCCGCACCTCTGCGTGGCAGTCCAGCATGGTAACCGTTTTGCTACGGAGGCACATTTAAGGCTACAGTTTGCGCGACTTAACATCCAATAGACTTACTTATTTTCGACGGTTACGTACGATGTGTACCTTTACCTCCAAAGGAGTGATATTTACCTAAGAACTAAATTAAAGAGGTCCTTAGGCCATGAACTGAATTAACCTTATGCAAACAAATCGCATACCAATTAAGTTATCGCAGTTACTCTATTTGCAAATGTGCTGTGGCCCGAATCCCCCTTGAACTAGATTTTGGTTATGAGTAAGAGCGGCTTTGAATTTTTCAAACGTTGCACGACAATCCTCATTTCAGATTTTGTTCGTCCCATCTGCCTACCAACATCCGATATGACTTTATCACCGCCTTCCAATTGGCACTTGATTGCGTCTGGGTGGGGCGTCAATGAGACTGTCCCAAGTAACTTAAAGTTGGATGTGGATTTACCTTTTGTGCCACGTTCTGTAAGTGCTTTTTGATATCTCTTTTTTTTTTTTTTTTTTTTTATATGTTAAATAGTAGGCAAACGAGCAGACAAGCCACTTGATGGGAGGTGGTCATTGTCGCCCATGGACACGAGCAATACCAGAGGCATCACCCATGCGTTGCCGACTCCGGAGAACCTTGTTTACACGCCTTTTGAAGAACTCCATGTTATAGCGCAAGGGGAACACTTCAGGAGGAAGGCCATTCCACATCTTACTGGTTCGGGGAAGGAACGAACGAGATGCTCGAGTGGTCGTGACGTGCCAAGCATCGAGGAAGTGGGGATGGAGTCTTCTCCTTCGGCGGGTCGTGCAGTGGTAAAAGAGTGACGGAGGCACCAACTCAAAGAGTTCGTCTGAGCACTCCCCGTTATACAGACGGTAGAACACACATAGAGAGCCAACATCTCTCCGCAAACTAAGGGGCTCTAAACCGTCTGTAAGCATAGGGTCGTCGACAATTCGAACAGCCCGACGTTGGATGGAGTCAAGTGGATCAAGCTGATACTTGGGTGCTCCAGCCCAGAGGTGCGAGCAGTATTCCATATGGGGCCGAACCTGAGCTTTGTATAGCAAAAGCCGGTGCCCCGATGTGAAACACCGCTTCGCTCTGTTGAGCACACCAATCTTTTTAGAAGCCATTTTGGCTTTATTCTCCAAATGACCCCGAATCTGGACTTCGTTCGAGATGTCGACGCCAAGGATGCCTATACTATTAGAGGTGACGAGGGGAGTGCCTTGGAACTTAGGCGCTATAACAAATGGAGTTTTCTTAGCGGAGAACGCGCAAACTTGTGTCTTTGTGGGGTTAAAGCGGACAAGATTTTGTCGGCCCCATACGGAGACTTGCTCCAGTGAGGTCTCGATTTCAGACACAAGTTGTGCTCTTCCTTCTACCACTTCCTGTTGGGTCATATTTGCACGGCCAGTATAAAAGGTATCACCAGTACTGTCATCCGCATAGCAATGAATGTTACTTGTCAGTAACATATCATTGATATGCAGGATAAACAGGGTTGGCGATAGCACTGACCCCTGGGGAACGCCAGCGTTGATGAGCATGGAGTCCGAGCAGAAACCGTCTAACGCAACTTTAATGTTCCGCTCGATCAAAAAACTGGCGATCCAGGTGCAAAGACCATCTGGGAGCCCGTAGGATGGTAACTTCGATAGAAGAGCCTTGTGCCAGACCCGATCGAAAGCCTTAGCTATATCCAAACTCACGGCCAATGCTTCCCCCCTGCTCTCAATGGCAGCTGCCCATTGGTGAGTGAGATACACAAGAAGATCACCAGCACCGCGACCACGACGAAAGCCGCACTGGCGGTCATTAATCAGCTGGCGATCCTCAAGGTAATCCAGGAGCTGGTTGTTCACCATCTCTAATGTATCAACGGTAATTAAGCACTAAAGGATTCGATTCCTAAACATCAGTTCAAACCTGAATAGTGCTCAAGAGGTTTAATACACCTGATTGGTACTCACAATTTTGTAAATTCACATATGAATAAAAACAGAATATGTCCAAAAAACACCTGGCATTTCAATGTTTATTTCCTAAAAAACATCCAAATACATGCAATGTTGTTACTCTCGAGCGACATTTTCATCATAAGCATTATCCTACAATTTACAGGTTTGCCAATCTGCATACAGCGGCCGAACTGACCTCTCGCAAGGTCAAATGTGCGCTGGTGGTGTGAAAGGTAAGGATTCCTGCAAAGGAGACTCAGGAGGCCCTCTCATGTGGGAGAACCCTAATAAAAATAATATCTTTGAAATCGTGGGAGTAATCAGCTTTGGGTCAACACCTTGTGCAATAGAAAATGTGCCTGGTGTTTATACGAAGGTGTACGAATATAATTCCTGGATCCGTCAGACTATGAAACCCTAAGATTTTAAATTGCGATTTTTACTATTGAATTTGAATTCGTCTTGACTAGTTATTACAGAAATTCACCTGTTCCACTCTAACCCACTAAGCAAATCCGTTAATTTGCGTGTTGCAATGGATTGACATTGGGTTTGAAAGAAATAATTTCGTCTGTTTATACAAATATCTCCTGGCAGTGGCGGATTTGCCCTAAGGCACAGTAGGTTCGGGCCTAGGGCGGCCAATCGTGACAAAAAATTCACTGATGATAACAAGAAATAACTCAAAGTACCTAAATATTCTAAAGGCTCACGCACGTTATGGCGGGCCGCACTGCACTGAACGGACGCTGGTACTGACTACATGGTCTGACGCCTAGGGCGGTCAAGACTGTAAATCCGCCACTGTCCCCTGGGGTCGATATTTGTGCGACAAAGAAAATATCACAGAGAAATTTGAAAAAACTTCACGCTGGCGAAGTCCTTAAAAGGACTGGAAGAAGTTTCGGTAATTTCAATTAAAAAAAAAAGATATTAACAGCTTTGGATCTAAGTATGAGCAATTATTTATCGTTTATGTTTTGAAATACAATCGATTAAAACGGAAAATTAGTATTAGAGATTTCAAAATCTTTCCATTGGGTTACTAGTTCTCTATGTACGTTCGTTCATTACGTTAGTTCTATAAGTACGGAGTTTATTTACTATAGCGATTTTAGTGACCTTATGTGTGAAGTATGTATCCACACAAGAAACCAAATACTGTCGCAGTTCAAAAATGATGGAATTGAAAAAAATACAATTTGAAAGTTCAAACAGTTACTTCTCTTTTTTGTTCATATTTTCAAATCGTGTTTTCTCAATACCATCAAGTTTAAGTTACGACAGTATATTGTTTTATGTGTGACATTGAGGTCTTATTATTATTTCCTTATGGCGGTCACGATGTCAGTTAATATTGATCAAGAACACCGTTTAGGCAGCAGCAAGGTAATAATAATTCTTTATTGCACAAATAAATGACATTGAAAATTAGAAGTTACAAAGACCATATACAAAGGTGAGCTTATTTCTAGAAGAGATCTCTTCCAGCCAACCCTAGCAGTGGTGAATAAACTAAGTCTGCGGGGCATTATTAATACATTTGTACTGGTATTTATTTTTTTGAGGATGCAAATCGAAAAAATGTTTACGTTTAATGATTCTTTGCTTGCGAGAATTGAATTATAGAGGGCGGAATAATTATAATAGTAGTTACATTTGACCATGTTTTATTTCACCCAAAGCAACAATTCGATTTAGTTCAAGTATCGTTTCGTCATACTCCTGTTTCTAGTCAGGGATATTTCATATTTATTTTTGAGTAATCGTGATATTTTACTATTTTTATATTAGTATTTTAAAACTGGAAAATCTGAAAAATTATTTTATTTTCCATTATTTTTTTATTTCTAATTTAGATTATTTGAAAGCGTTATGATATAGAAAACTCATAAGAATAATGGTTGTGACTCGTGCAAGCCTCTTGCCTTGTTACATTGAATTTAGTTTTTTAAAATTTTATATGTACGCTTTTAAGTATACCTAATATTAATAAAATGTAATGACAAATGTTGAGTTTTATTAATAAATATCTAGGGTCGGCACACTAAAGCATATAAATCCAGTATGTTTGTTTCAACTTAGTATCTTTTTCAATTAGTACCTATTAGTCATTTGCCTCTCAGGTATAAAAAAAAAAAAAAAAAAAAAAATTATGATTTGCTTCTATCTTCAAACGTTATGAAAAACAAAAAACAATAAACTTTGTATATATTTTTTTTACTTATGTGCTTAAGTCTGCTGACACTAGCTTTGAATACCTTCATCAACTTTTTTAATTCGTCTATGTCATTTGCCGGGCAGGTAGATAATTGTACAATGTTCGTTTATAAACTAATTCAAGTAATGAATGAAAGAAAGAAAATACATTTATTAGACTGCCACAAATGCCACCACACAAGAAAAAAAAGAAACAAAACAGAAGAAAGAAAAAAATTGCAAACAAAAACATTCACACATAAGACACAAATAAATTATTAATTATAAAACACAGTCACAAACAAAACAAATTAAATTGAACACAGATTATTTACATAAAATATACAAACCCATTTCATTGACTAAGGTATATATTTATCGAGTTCTTAGGTTTTATTATATTTGTTTTTTCAAACAAACTGAAGTTTCGGGCCCTTTACAGGTCCCATCGTCACGGTTGACTGAGGTGGTACAATCTTTAACCAGTTATATCTAATATTAATGCAAACCACCCTATTTTTTCACTATAGTTACAATAGTTATTAATTAAATAACTTATTTTAAATTTTACAAAGAAACATTCCAATTTATACTACATTAAGTTTTACAAATTATTTTATTGAATGAATTTTTATTATGTTCAATTTATTATTTATTAATAATAGAAATTAGAATAAAGTAAAACATATTAATTAGTACTGCAGTCTTATGTCTGTTTGGGATTTTTCATCAGAGGAAATACTGGATCCCAAACTGGTGGTACGGAGAAACCCTCTTCCTGTTGAAATTAGGATGTTTTTTAATTTCTACGGCCTCTTGCAGCATCCTGGGTAGATAACGGACTTCATTTGCAAGGACCTGGGGTTTGTCAAACTTCATTGATGTGTAGGTTTATCCATGACATGCTCGCAAACGGCATACTTGTTTATGCGACGGTGTTTGATATCAGCTATATGTTCTTTGACGTGGGTACAAATAAAAGGTATATATTGCAATTCTCTAGACTTTTACAGTTAAACGCAATGTTTTATATTGGTAAAATATATATTGTAATCAATAAAGGTAGCTATTCATCCAATTTGTGTAGTTTGGTTCCTTGTACATTTCTTGTAAGTGTTATATCACCAATTAACTCGCTACGAATTGCCGATCTGTGACCACATACACACCATATTCATTTTTCCAAAAGTGGCAGTGGTCATACAATATTATAATAATGGTTAATTTTCTCAACACAAAAAGTTCTATTAATATAATAGACAAACAATATTCAATATTAACAGTAGTAAATGTTTATATGAGGGAAATAATAACTCTCTTTAAAAAACATTTGCTAGGTCCAACTAAAAGTTCTTCTTCTTCTTTTATATGTTATAGCCCAATCGACATAATCGATGATACCGCCAACGTCAAATTAAGGAAGTGAATTTTGATAAAAGACAACGCTGAGAGGAGAATCAACAGCATACGACACAACATACACAAAATATAAAAGAAACAAATTATAAAATCGCGCGGAAAACAATTGCACATAATTTACAAACGTAATCCATAGACTGATTTTATCCTTGATTGAATATTTTCGTATTATTTATTATATGGCAATCTGGGCAATAATCCTCTTAATATTGAAATTAGAGCATACAATCACAAATTAATTAATACGAGATACTACGCATACAATGTACATAACGAAAATAATTCCTGTTTTTTTTAAGTTTGACAGATCGACAATCGTGAGTGATGTTCTTTGTTAGTCATCTTTGTCAATGTAATATAATCGGAATATTGATATCGGACATGTTTAATGTGCAAATTGCTTGTTAAATGTAATTTAATAATAAATTCTATTTCCGCCAGTCCACAATAAGTCAAATGGCGTCTAACTAAGTAAACCGTCAAAATGCACCAAGATTTATGATGTGGTTAACAATAATTTCTTCAAAATTTTTCTTAAAGTAAACTGTTGTAAAGTACAGGTCCAAGAAATATATTAGAAAAACAGAATACCTTTTGTAAATATCGAAAAAGCAGAGGAAATACTACATCACCTGTGATTTAAAAAAAAATCGATTCTCAATAAATAATATCGATAAGATGACTTTACAGATGAACGTTACTATGAAGTGTTACCATTATAAAATAAGCTGTAACGTTAATTTGTAACGTTATTGGTCTAACATAATATTATTTTTTGTCTACTGGGTCCTAAGTCTATCAAATATCCAATTACCAGTAACCAATGATTATTGTAATGGAAGGTTGAAAGTCTTTAATAAATACATTTTCTTTATAGATATTTTCACGCCTCATCGTACAGATTATAACGAATCACAAGCAACAATGTGGTTTCTTTTCACAATATTTAAAAGTGCAAAGAGCACGTCAAGGTTGACACTTAAGATTTAAACTCAACTCTATGTGCCGTTTCGGTAAGAATGGTTCAATGCCCAAAGTACAAAACTTGTTGTGCCGTTGACCTGGGTTTATCATTATATCATGTGACAGGTGGTCCACAACATTTTAAAGTCTGTCTACGTAATTAAGTTTTACCGTGAATAAATTATGCAGGTTATGTAATTTGCACAATAAAAACAAAGTATATGAAAAACAAAGTGTTGTAAGATGCGATCATCTCGACAACATTTTTAGAACGAATTTAGATTTGAACGAATTTGGACAGTGATACTGATCCCTTGGATTTTGAATGAAAGAGTTTATTTTTGGTTATTTCGTCACTAAAGCAGTTTTTATCAAACTTTAGAAATGTTTTTATATTATACGGTGATAAGTAAAGAAAATAAGGACAAATAATTATAAAAATTAAACTTGTAAACATAAGTAATTTTATATAACTAAAATAAACTCTTCGATCTAGCCACAATAATCGGAGATACCAAATGAGATTACTTAAAAAACCCACAGTAATAGCATGAGGAAACTAAATTTATAGTAAAATGGAAATATGATTTTTTTTCTTAGTTTCGTTTTTACAGTAGTTCACTTTGAACTACGATGATCGAAGATAAAAAAATAACATTAAAAACGAGAACGTCAATAACGAAACGTAACGATAACCAAGCGCTATTGGAGAATAAGCTGACAACTCGAAGATGAAATTGATGAAAACGCCAAACAAACCGATTCCGGCCGATGTGCATGTCGTTTTGGTGAACTTGTGCGTCTTTTGAAATATTTTGTATCGTATGTTTGTGTATGAAAATGTGAAGAACGATACATTTTTTTGAATGAATGTGTAGCTATTTGGCTCCGACGAGCAAATTGGTTGAATTACATGAACTAATTAAGTGAATTTGAGTGATAATACGGCATTGAATCTCCCCTTGTGGCTTGTGAACTAATTTAATGGAGGGTATTCGTGTTTATAAATATTGATTTGTTGCGTATCGTGTTTCTAACTTTTCTATTATGCCTTCGAACGTAAAGTGAAATGTAGGTAACTGTGAAACGTCAGGAGTATAAAGAGAATTTGTTAAAAATGCAACAGATGCGTAAAAATGGCGCGTTCTGCGAACGTGAAGTGAAGTGAAAATTTTGGTTGTTTGTGTGGTTTTTCTTGTTTTTTTGACAATGGAGGGAACTACTGAGAAGGATTGCTCGCCGCTATGGAGCCTTTACCAACAGATCGTGTCGGATATGAAGGTAAGTGTTTTATTTACAAAGATATTCTAACTTTTTACACTACTCGAGCAAGTCGGTTTATTGTGCCACTTTGTATGAAATCGCCCCTATAAATCGTTGGTTTTGAACGAATTATCTTCGTTATCAGTGCATGGGAATTAGTTTCGTGTGGTATCTTCGTTATAATGTCGATAAACCTGGCTATTGTGCAGTTTCACGGTAGACAAAGCATTGTTGCAATTCGGAGCCAAGCATTCGATATATTCTAGAATTATGACTTTAAAATACAAAGCAATTGTAAACTAAACTTATGCACTGTTAAAAATAGATCTACTAATTCTTTTCAAAGAAATGCTTAAAAAACTATAACACACAGAGCTTAAAAAAATATAAGAATAAAAGAAATAATATCTTTTATTAAATCAAAATTAAAAGCTTTTAAAATAAAAGAATATGCAATGCAAATGAAAGTCTGCTTAGTAACATGGATAATTTTGTCATTGTTTTATTAATAAATACTGACAAATTAAAACAAATCTTCAAAGATATGTAGAATATAATAATATCCCACAATATTATTATATTCCCTACAAACAATTTTTTTATTTATTATCATTGCTTGTCAGCCAATGACTAAATAAATTCTGTAGGTGAGAGGTAGGTTAAAGGATCATAAGTTCATATTTTAGCATTTAGATGTTTTTAACTGACTTTTGGTTTAGAATGCTTAAAATCACACAACGGTTATGGACGTTAAGTCCTATTGTCATTTGTTTTTTATTTAACATATTTTATATGAGCTTAGAATTGATTTTAAATTCCTAATTAGGAGCCTCTTTCTCTTTAAAGTGCTTGGTAGTGAATATTACTAAGGTTCTTTACGTATCACCTACAGAATTTATTATTAAACTAAAACATCTCATTCTTTTATTTTTCTCTATGTGAACATTCATAAAAGAAAATTTATCAATATTTGTGTAATGCTCGAATTCATCTGTTCAGTAAGAAATACTCTTGATTATATTACTAAAGTAGCTGAATAAACATTTGTATACCAACCGGAAAGCTGTGATTAAACATAGTTATCTGACTGGTCGCATTCTAAATTTTATAAAAAAAGCTTATCTCAAAATGTTATTAATCAATAACCTGCAGTGTTTTTTTTTTGCTTTGAAAATCTGCAATCAGTCAACCAGACTATGATCAGATGAGTCAGAAGACAGGGTGCTCCAGTGCTCTATCTATCCTCAATTACCTAGCAGATTGGTTCTTTTGACTCTCCTAATTGTGTGTGGCAGCAACAGCAACGGGTTAGTATGACCACCTAGTTGATGTCTTTAGTGAAATGAACTACAGAATTGAAGAACTTTATGCATTTTGTGGCTACAATTGTCTTAACCAACTGTAACTGTGTTGTAGATGAGATGAATTGTAGAATCTAATCCAGCAACATTACCTCAAGAAGTTTAAATTGAGTGAGTTACTAATCTTACAAAATTTTCTTTGTCACTTTTCTCTTGTTTCCCTTAATTGATATTAAACAAAATTAATATTAGACTTAGACTATTTTTAATAATGATTTATGTTGTATATAAAATGCAAACAGTAAACTCAATTTCCATTAAAAATAGCATCTATACACAGATATTTCCACACTGAATATTCAACCGCTAATTGCAATGCAAAATGGGTTTTATTTGATTACCAGTTCAGCTTAACATTCTATAGTTGTAGATCTTCTTATGAATAAAACAGGTTGGGTCCCCTATATTGCTATTTTATCTAGCTTAGAACTATCTGAACTGTACATTATAATCACACTATCTATATGCGGCATTATTACAATATTGTTAAAAGTAAAACATTAGTCTGTAATAAAAATTAAATACATTGAATAAGTAAAACCAGAAACTTTTGGCTCATTTTATTTATATATTACAAAAGAATTTCCATCATTGTGCATAAATCAAAATACTGGAAAGATACCACCATAATTCCGATTAGCGAATATTATACTTGTGTAGATCGTCACTTTTCATCTGTTAAGTTTTTATGCCATGTGTAAAATATAAATTTTCAAAATAAATTAAAAACAATTTTATGGAAACGGTCCATTTTCATCTTACAAATAAAATGAAAACCTTGTTGTCTCATGACAATTATTGTGTTAGTATATATAAATTCATAAAATATCAGACTTATGATATCCAATTCGTTAAATATATTACGAATACTAACTAGAGTGTTGTTTATGTATCTTGCTATGTATGACTGGTTGATTGACAGACTTGTTTAGCTGACCTTCACTTCTTGTGAAGGACTTGACCATACTAGTCTTATAAAGAAAGCCACGGTGCATTTCTTTTCAATATTGCACATGCATTGCAGACCATGTGAAATTAGATCATGGGTCTCCTATGGTAAATGTTAGTTAATTGTAGTATAGTCATACTATGGTACTCCGGGACACAGCGGTGTTGAGGTGATTTTGAGACTTTGAGGTGCGTTGATTGGGCGGTACTTACCCACCCTCGTCCTGCAATCATAGAACTAAACCACAAATATATATTGTCGCTTAGCAAACAACACCGCTCAAATAATTTGAAATAATTTTATTAGAGAGTGAAAAACTGCGTAATAATATATTGTTGTATAAACGATTTTTAATCGATTGCTAGTTAACTGCCTCCGTGGCCGAACGGTTACCATACCGGATTGCCACGCAAAGGTCCCAGGTTCGATTCACGGGATTCTCTCGTGAGTTTGGGGGTAATTTGTAGTTGTCTATAGTTGTTCATGGCACCAGCAACACAGAGTTTCCCTAGTGCTGGGCTATGTTGAGTGTGTACGTTATTATTATTATTAGTAATAGGTGCTAAATTTATGAATAACAAACAATTGTATCCATGTTCTAAATATGGTTTTTATAGATATTCACGTTCCATGTTGACGAGTAAAGTTCAAAAGTACAGCCAATTTTCAACTTAAACTGCGTTGTTTGCTAAGCGACGATATATTTGGCTTAGCAAGAAAAAAGCAGTAATTCACATACTGTTGATAAACATTTTACTTCGTGTCTTCGCAGGTCCACTTACGTCATTAAGTATTATCTCACTTTAGTTACATCAGATTTATTTTAAAAAGTTATTCACCGCAAGGCTATCTACTGTATAGAAATATCAAGATTTTTTTAATTATATTTTTAGCATCATTTAACATTATTATTGTGTATTGCGATTGCAATATTATTTCTATCATCATCACAATAAATTTTTAACCAACTTGAAAAAAAAGGAGGAGGTCGTCTATTCGATTATTTTTGTAAGTTACGCGATAACTCCGCCATTTGTGAACCGATTTTGATGATTCTTTTTTGTTGGAACGACCTCCATTGTGCTCCCATTTAATTTTGAAGAAAATCCTTAGAGGTGGATACCTCTAAGGGTGGCTGTTCACGCATGAAGATTAATTTTTATAAATAGCGCCTATACTTTATTATAAGGAGGAATTATTTTAACCCGTCACGCGTTCTAGAAACTAACGGTGATAATTAGCAAATGATAATTAAAAAATAACGAAATCGTTTGCGACATCGGTGTCTCTGACACGCGTGATTGATTAAAAGGAATTATCCTTATAAATTGACCGTTGTGATCAGCATTACAAAAATCTGGATATTTTTCACATTCGGTAGATTCGATTCCCAGATAAGACAAATAACTTTTTAGAAGTCTTGGAATACAGTATTACCTATGTTCTAAAATAAAACAATGTTCCCATGAAGCAACATATCTTATCTACAGTATTTAAACACTTTTCCTCCGTGTCGCATAGCCTGAGGACAGCCCTGTATATATACATTATATATATATATATATATATATATATATATATATATATATAATAAAACTCATCTTTAAACAATTACGTAAAAGAAAAAAAAACAAGTAACGATTTACGTGTTGCAAAAAGATAACTCAATCAATGTCTAACCTATTATATACAGCCATTCCGTGCAATTAACAGTAAGAATAAAAACTAGCCCGAGACACGTTTACTACGTTGTGTTTTACACTACATTTCACAAATTTAATAAGTGGTATAGACAACATTTTTGATACATGGTAAAAGTTGACCAGTATTAATTACAATAAGACCCAATTTCCTAATTATGTAATCTTACGGTGGGAAACAAGTGTTTCCAAGTGGGCGACCACATGCTGAGAGAACTTCTCACTAAGTGAAAGGTGTGGGTCACAGGGATCGCTTGAATATATGTAGACCATTCGGGACTGTGCGTGAACACCGCTGTGAAGTTGCTAGCTTTTGGTATTCTACGAGATATAATACGGAGAGTGCGATGGAATTGCTTGGTTTAATTCCGTCTTCCTTTTTCTATCATCGGGGGACTCTGAGGGGGGCTGAGGTTCCACCCCGATGTTGTGGATATTCCAGGGTCTCGTTCGAAGCGTTTCGCTTCCATATTTATATGCGGACGGCTAAGGAGTGGAAATCCCTGCCTGCAGACTTATTCTAGACGAGAGTGAATAGGCATTATTTAGGTGTGCATGCTACATCGTCGACCTCATCGTCGCTTTCCACAGAT